CTCTCCAAGTCTCCAGGGGGGTCGGCGCTCTCCAAGTCTCCAGGGGGGTCGGCGCTCTCCAAGCCTCCAGGGGGGTCGGCGCTCTCCACATCTCCAGAAGGGCCGGTGCTCTCTACTACCACAGAAGATTCCCCTACTACCACAGAAGAGTCGGCCCTCCACGTCGACCGCACCAGCTCCTCGGTCTTCCACGTCGGCAGCGATGGCCTCCAAGACATCCACGTTGGCTGCGGCTCCCCTCCAGGCCTCCACGTTGGCTGCGGCTCCCCTCCAGGCCTCCACGTCGGCTGCGGCTCCCCTCCAGGCCTCCACGTCGGCTGCGGCTCCCCTCCAGGCCTCCACGTCGGCTGCGGCTCCCCTCCAGGCCTCCACGTCTGCTGCGGCTCCCCTCCAGGCCTCCACGTCTGCTGCGGCTCCCCTCCAGGACCCCACGTCGGCCGAAGCGGCCTCCAGGACCCCCATATCGGCCGAAGCGGCCTCCAGGACCCCCATGTCGGCCGAAGCGGCCTCCAGGACCCCCATGTCGGCCGAAACGGCCTCCAGGACCCCCATGTCGGATGATGCTGTATCCAGGACATCCATGTGGGCTGCAGCTCTGATCCTCCTGCCTGGTGCAGCACTGGTCCTGGTCTTACCTTTGATCTGCCCCCAGCAAGTCTTACACGGCCATCTGACCTGAACTTTGCCACTTTTTGGACAGTGGCCAGGTCATCCACCAGAGTTTTGGGGCTTCTCTGGAGGTCCCTTGGGACCTCCAACCTGCCTTTTTGCCCACCTCCAGTGCCCCCTCCACCCGCCCGGTTCTTGTTAGTTCTTTCTCTTTGGTGGTCAGTCAGGATGCCGGACCTTAAAGGGGGGGCTATGTCACGCTCAGCAGCCCCCGCTGCCCCCCCATCTGCCTAAGCCTCTGCTCCTCATATCACAGCCCCTGTTTTAAGATCATTCACATTTTTTCCTGCCTCAGTTTCTGTTTATTTCATCCTGTTTGGTCCTGCACTGCCTATCACCCATTTTCTGCTCCTGTCACTCTCTCTCAGCAATCTGCACTCATCTGTTGCACCCTGTCTCTGCAATCACCACTCACCTGCCACACCTGTTCAGCTCACTATTTAAGCTCCCTGTTTCTCTTCAGTCGGTGCCAGATAATTATAGGTTCTTCCCATAGATATCCAGCGTTCCCTCTTCATGTCACAGTATTCGACCATAGTTTTGCCCACGACCTCTCGTTCTCGCCTTTGCCCCCGTACTGGATTCCTCGCCTATATCTGACCATATTGACGACTGTTTTTGCTCCTTGACCACGATTTTTGGATTCTCCTTTTGGTTCTTCTGCCTGGCTGCATTCCTCTCTGGTTTTGACCCTTGCCTGCCCCTGGATAAAGTTCTGCTACCTAAACTCCTCAGCTTCACAGCTCGCCCATCCAACCTCACTACTTGTTGGTGCTCACGCTGCGCGCTGCTGCTCTGTGCGCCCTTGCGCATGTTACTGGCTCCTGAGATTCGGACCGGTACCGGGACCCACCTGGCCCACATCTCAGACTGGTTCCAGAGACAGAAGAGCGGTCCGCTACCAGTACCTGAACCAGAACCTCCTGCCAGACGCCACCGGTTTTAAAAAATAAACTTTTTAAACCTTTTTCTGAGTCTGTGCTTGTCCGATCCACCCCAATTCGTGACACCTGCACAGTCTGCAACACCTCCTTCCTGTTTGACATTCCTCCAGGAGACATCAGTCAGCTGCCCATCATGCTCGAGTTTGTCATTGTGCAGGTAATGGTTTATATATATATATATATCACAGAGTTGAGTCTTTGCAGAAGGTCAAGCTGTTGGTCGAGTCCCGCTCAGAGCAGAAGCCGAAGGTGCAGGACGTGCTCACTGGACGGGCATGTGCAGCCTGCAGGAGCTGGCACGTCGTTCAACCTTTGACTGCATCTCTGAATTCAAACATTGGCTAAACAAGAACGTCCTGTTTTTAAATGACAGTAAAACAGAATGGATTTTATTTGGTGACAAAGATGCAACTGGCCTGGGAAATTTGGACATTAACTTCAGTGACTGTGTGAAAAACCTTGGGGTGACCTTTGATAAGGCTTTACACTTTGACAAACATATTGCCTCTGTTGTCCGGTCGGGATTCTTTTATTTACGCCTTTTAAAAAAGGTCAAACCCTTTTTAAATTGTCGCGACCTGGAGAAAGCTGTTCATGCTTGTATCAGTTCTAGGCTCGATTATTGTATCGCTCTGTATGTCGGTGTACCACAGTCATCACTGAGTCGCCTCCAGCTTGTACAAAATGCAGCAGCGCGCCTTTTAACCAACACTCCTAGATGGGACCACATCACACCTGTAGTGAACCTGATCTGGCCCTGATCTGACCCTGATGACCTCAAATCTATCAGATGGACAGAGACTGTTATTTTCATTGATCTAAATAAGTCTGAGCCATCTGATGACTTTCTTTCTTGAATTAATCAAGCAGAAAAGATAATCCTCTATAATCATTACTGTTTTACAAATGTTTGATAATCAAATTGTGTTAGTTCCATTCAATGCTTACAGGTTGAAAAAGAACTGCTCATTTTATTTTACATAAACAGTAAGTAATGATTTTTATTCCTCATTCAAAGAAGAAATCAGGTTAATATGTATTTCTTGATTTTCTGTCTTCAATGAGCAAGCTGTCGTAAGTATGTGAAAGTTGAAGCTTCGGTCAACTAAATGTTTACTGAAAATGGGATGTCATGTTTTACTATTTGGAAAGATACAACAGAGTGAGGCTCCAAAAAGTCTGGTATTCTGCAATAATCTTTTCTGTATGTTGAAAACAAATTCATTCCCTGACCTCGACTTTTGATAATACCTTACGTCAAAAAACACACCTCTTTCTGGTACATCCACGAATCAGAAAGCTCTAAATTGAACCGGAAGTCGACCCATTTAAAATGTGGCAACTTCCCAGTTCAGGTTAGAATTTGTTAGAATTCATGGAGAATTCATGGAGAATGGTGAAGTGAATGGAAGAGAATTCGAGAATTCAGGAGAGTCAGAGACGTTTGGAATTATAACTTCTGTTTGAACAACCCACGCACGACTATCTAAGGATTTCAGCAGCTCTCAACGGAGACGCTGAAAGGTCTGGAGGATTCTCTATCGAGCTGATCTATCATCAACCAGGTAACGGTCTCTTCTTCGACTAAAGTGTACCGGAGGCGAGCTGAGATCTGATGAAGCGTGCACGTTCTGGTCTACAGATATTAATTCCCTCACATAGTTCTCTGTAAGATAAATCTCCATTTCATCTTAAACTCTTCTCTCTCTCACAAAACCAGTACAGATATTTTAGAAATATCTGAAGCAAAGTCCTCGTTCACCGCCGAGTGATCGATGCTCATTTTCTGTGAAACTTGTCTGTTATTATTTTCATTTTTGCCAAATTAATGTAAATGTTTGATGTTAAACTTTGATTCTGAAAATAAATGACCACATTCATTTGATGGGTCAAAGATAATAACGTCTCTCGTTCGCATTTCTGTTAAAATTCAATGCACGACATTACACAGTCAGAAAGATGAGGAACTCGTGAATATTGTATGCATATATCTCATATATTGTCATACTACAACTAGTGACACGTACCCACGTGACTCACTACAACTGGTGGCCCGTAAGTCTCATAAATGACTGTTAATTCGTGTAAACATTGATTTTTCCATGTTGGCATGTTGAAAAAATAACAGTTTATCAGCTGATTGAAACGCTGCGCCGCTGTGTTACGCTGCATGTTTTAAGCGTGTCGGTCTGTGGAGCTCAGTGAGGCTCACAGAGAGCTGAAATTGTGTCATTAAGTCTTGTGTAAGCTGAAATTGTACGTCTGTTACGTGTAACTAAAAGCTGATGAGCTGTGGAAGACGTTATTCTGTTTAAAAGTACGAGGCTCTGCTCTAAGACCCGGCTGTGGTCCGGTTCGGTTCTGTTCAGTTTGAACGAGTATTTTGAATAGATGGATAAACGTTTTAAAAGCTGAGTGCCATCTCAGAACACAGTTAGGAGTTGATTCGTTACAATTTTTAACAGAAAAAGTGCATTTTGACAGTTTAAAAGACGAAAAGCTGATGAACTATTTTCAGGCTAAACCTAGCATGCTTGCTGCTAACGCTTCCTGATTGGTTGAATTCGCTGTTGTGGAGCGCTCTGATTGGTTGAGAAGGCTGACTGGCGTGGCTACGTCACTTCCTCTCACCCTGCGCTGCTTTGCCATTGGTGATTTCAGTCACGTGACCCGGAAATGAAAATTCGTTTTCATAGGGAAATAAAATCTGCTTTTTAAAGCTGAAAGTAACTTTAAAGTGGTTTTGATACGCTGGTCAAGTGCTTCGAAGCATACTCGCTGAAATTTTGCCACGTTAGAGTTAAAATTCGTCATAAAATGATGTTTTTAAACAACGCTAGCGATGCTAATTTTAAGCTAACAGCTAACGACTGGATGAATGACGTGCCACGTCACTCCCCCATGTCGGAAAGGAGCCTTCACTACGCTTAAAATCACTAAATAAAGCTGCAAATGTCCCATAAAACTCATGTTTCAAGCTATAAAGTCTGATTGAAAAAACTTCTGCCACGTTTGTGTAAAAAATCCGTTCAGAAATGTTGATTTTAACCGAGTTTAGCCGAAGCTAACTTCAAGCTAAGCGGCTAACAACAGGATGTCAACCGAACGCCACAGGAAGTTATAGCTCCCCTAGTGGACAACACAAACAGTGTCGGAGTTAAATTTTGTTGAGGTTATACTGACACCTTCTGGAGAAGACGTGAAATCACAGGTTTCACTTCGTTTTTAGGTAAAGAGTGAAATTAAACGTTTTTTTTATTTCTCTGTAAGGCAATTTTGAGTTAACAAACTTCCTCAAAGCTGAATAAAACACTGTTATCTTGCATTTTAAAAGTTAAAAAGGGTATTTATGCAGAGAGCATTTACCAAACAAAATTTTATTCACTTATAAATCCTTGAGATAAAGGTTCATAATAAAATTAGAAACTTTAAAAAAAAAAAAAAACAGATACAGTTACAAATATTCACAGAGTT